TTGATTTTACAGTGATTCCGGAATTGAGGTAGTGAGGTGATACTGGTGGTGAAAATGCACGGGAGCGTCGTCGGGGGCGGCGGTGGGGGCGGGGGGAGTACCGACCGCGACCGTCGCGCCCTCGAACGGGAAGCGCTCCGGAACGTTATCGCCCAATGGAACGCCAATCGACTTGATCTCTTCGAACTCTCCGAACCTAACGAGGTAAGCCCTAAAACTCACATTACATGCTTTTCAACAGTATATAACAACACAGCGTTCTTAATAAGGCTTGCTGCAGTTGACATTTCCCTTTTAACCCTTACATTGAGTTTAAAAGTGTATCTGTATATGAAAACCCATTTTATGACGATTTTAATCTTCACATGGGCATGAAGAGTATACAACAGTCTCTAACTAGAATTCGTTTACATTATAAATTGACTTTTTGAATCAAATTTTTGCTAATATTCTTCTGAAAAATCAGCCGCAGCGATGAATAAATAATGGCTCAATTTTTAAGGCAAAACTATTGCTAGAAAAGACAACACCAACGAAGTATTAGTACTACGTATTGTCTGATATCGATATATTTATATAAAAACAGTTATCTTTTGTACGTGACCCCCTGTATAGTTATATGTCTTTTGTTGAAAGATATTGAATGATGACATCTTCGCCTTACATACGTATGCAAAACAGTTATTGTCGAGGTGACAAAACATACGAACAACAAATTTTTATTGTTAAATTGACATTGTATGTAAATATTCACCGTGCCTTTAAAAAAAAAAAAGAAGCATACAGTTGTCTTCAAACGCAATCATCATAATGCACAACAACAAGGTCGCTTTTATGTGTCACATCAAAATTATTAAAAATTCCCATTTCTCTCACGTAGTAAAAAAGATTGGAAGAAGTTTTTATGTGAACCAATCGTATTTCGTCGGACTATAGAACATGCTATATTTTGGGATATTTAACTTACGCAGTTTTTATAAAAAGGGTTGTTTTTAGATGCTTGACAACCAAAAGCACTATAAGTTTAATTCAAGTACTTCTACCCTAAACTAAAGCGTTCCCTGTTTGAAACCCAGTTTGTACAAAGAACTTTGGCAAATATCTTTGCGAAGACAATCTAAACTCGTTCGATTTTATTCACAAATATTGTAATTATTTTCGGTCAGTTTTCATAAGGGAGGATTTATTGATAAAAAATATTAACCGTGGATAAAAGTAAATTACCCACAAACACTTTCCTGGACTTTGAAGAACTAATTAATAAATTCATAAATGCAACTGCCTGTGTTATGGAAAATAAACCGTTTTACAAATTCGTTCCCAAATATTTATCATTAAATTATAATTGCACTTTTCATTCCTTCTTATATTCGGTATAAAACATAAGTAGGTGCATTATTGACATTGTTAATCTTTATTTTAATGACTGCCAATGCAAATAAAGTAACATTTAAATAAAACAGTTGATTAGTCATTATCAAGAAGCTTTTCCAAGCTAACTCTTGAGTGGTTTCAAACCAAATTTTGTGATGGTAGTCTGTGTATCTAATATCTGCAAATGTAAACATGTTTTAATTAGAACTTTTTTAAAAGACTTACTTGTTTACAAATATGCCTTTTCGGATCGAGTGGGGATACTAACCACGAAAAAGTAGAGCTTGACTTACTGTCATGTTCCGTTCAATTTAGGCAGAATTGAAGAAAGGATTTGCGGTCTAAAGAACAAATGCTTGAAATTCTAAGCGATAATGATGACAAAATTATATACCATGACTTATAACCGTCAACTACAGCTACTACACGTGTTGACCTAATAAAATTTGCAACTTCTACGAAGAAAATACGATGTTTTTGGTCCAATAAATAAAAGAAAGAAAAACTCGTTCTTGAAAAAATGTTTTAAAATTTTAATACGAATCTTGTTTTCAACTGAAGATACTTGTTTTTATCTTATGTCGTTTAGAAATTAGAAGTGTTTCAGTCCTGGGTAAATGTCTAGATGATGGCCCCCACCCCCTTTCAGTGGGATCGAAAGGGGAGGTCTCCCCTACCACTGTATCATAAAAAGTTCGTGGCGGTCTTACCCCCATAAAAAGTTATGGGGGTGGGGAAGAGGGGATCGAAAGAGGGTAGGGGGATTGAAAGAGGGTGGTCACCTGAGTAAACCCCCATAAAAAAATTGCGGTGGTCAAATAAAAATAAAAAGTTATGGGAGTTGAAAGTTGATTATTTTGTCAATTTTCATACACTATAATTCAAATAAAATGCAATAAAAAAAATATTTTCACGCGGGTGGAGGTGGGGGATCGAAAGAGGGTGGTCACTTGAACAAAACCCAATAACCTAACCTAACCTACTCTATTGATAAAGATATTTAAATAATGTTTTATATAACTTTCTCAATATTTTTATAATTTTTTTATTAGTTTTACCTTTGAATATTGTTTAAGAATGACTGTGTAAATATTTACATGTCTAGAAATGTATAAAAATTGGCATATTTATTAACTTTGAACCCCCATAACTTTTTATGGGGGTGAGACCGTCACGAACTTTTTATGGTACAGTGGTGGGGGAGACCTCCTCTTTCGATCCCCCCCACCCATCATCTAGACCTTTACCCAGTCCTGTGTGCTTTTTAAAATTTAAACAATAGATTTCTTTCATTTTGAATAAAGATATGAAATAAAATTCTTAAAATAAGATTATAACTACTGTTCTTTGCTATTCAGTTTTCTTACTGTATTTTGTTTATAAAAGCACCTTCGCAAAAGTTCTATCATTGTCATTAATATAGCTGTTTAATAAATGTACTTATAGTCAGCCGGAAGTTGCATTTACGCTTGATTGGCTTCTCTAACAATTTTAATTCACTAACAAAACTCATTATCCTACATTATTAGAAGCATAATGGGTCTGTTAATTTTCACAGTTTCTTATTCTACGTCGCGTATTTATTATAATTGAATGTTCACGTATACTTATGAGCCAAAGTAAACATATTTATA